TAGGTCAATGGGGGGGGGGTAGCATACATATATAGTGCAAGCTTCAAGCCTCCCAACTGCAGGGGCAGAGCGTGGGTGGTAGTTCAAGGGAAGACGTTGAATTTGGGGGTTTGTGTTTCAGGTTGAGGGGGGTTTCGGGCTGGCAGTTTTGAGTGTTTCGGAGTTGTGTTTGGGAAGCCCTTGAAGGGTCCATTGCCCAAGACGTGTGATCCTTTTGAGGCGTTGGGCTAGGATGCACGGAGCTTGAGGCTTAGGAGTCAGCATGTGTTTATGTGTCTGTGTGTCTATATATATATATATACAAACACATGCACATGTAAATACCCAGAAAGAGCATATAACATACGTTATACACACACATACATATTTACACGGGGTCACCAACTTCTTTATTCCAGGTATGTGGAAAGTTCAAGAACCTGTACTTAGAAATGCAGCGAGCGGATCATGTTAGCGAGGTGCAACCCCAAGTACCTGCATCAGCTCTGGGGCTGCCGACCTACCTCATTCTTCTTGCAGAATGAACTTTGTCTAGAAATGTCGCGCTGGGGTAGCATGCGTAGTCCATGCATCTGGGTATATGTATGATTCTAGCAAGCTGTAGCCCAATTACAGCACATGTTCACATGACAACAATACCGCGGAGAGCTTGATGCCAGACCAGTATCTGAAATATGATGCTGACCTTAAACAGAGAAGCGGAGAATCAAGGTTCTGTACCGTGATCTCAAGCCAGAGAACTGCTTGCTGGACGATGCTACTCGGTCTGTAAGTTTCGAGTAGGTTGAGTTCGAGTTTTTTTAGTTGGCGTGCTAAGGAGGTCAACGTTTGCCAAAGTCGCTATTGCTGTTGCTGTCTAGCCGATACGTTTGCGAATGTATTCACTGTACCATTAGTCTTCCCTCCGCTTCGCCCAAGACAAACAGACTAAGGCTGATGACATTTCCCTGCACATGCGTGTTGAAGCCTGCAAAGCCATTCACTGTTTGGGCCTGTTTGGGCTTGGGAGTTTCGGGGATTCCACGGCTTTAGCGCGCTGAAACGGCAAAGGCGTCAGCAGAAATGTGGGCTTCTGGCTGATTTCGCTCGATATGGCATGGCGCTGAATTGACTGTATGTTGCTATTGTCAGTTCCACATCGAAACTTATGACATCACTCAGTGCACATGGGAATTCAAATTTCAATCGCCGTCAGCTCATGTAAATTGAACGCTGGGCGAAATGTGATTATGTGACATGATAATGCGACAAATCAGGTAGATGAATGGCTAAGCACGAAGCAAAACGCATCGGAGGAATGAAAGCAAGCAACAAGCAAGGCTACCAATCACAAACGACTCCTTAGGGACCATTCGCGAGTTCATGGTTTGCTGAAAACGAAGCTACGAAGGCGTCCTGGCAAACTGCTTAAGGAGGAAGCACATAAAAAGGCAACATAATCGAGCCCCTTACATGTCTGGGATGTCTTGTCCGATTATGCGTTTGCTCTGTTGCAGCTGTTGTTGGTTGTTGCTGCTGGTGCTGTTATGGTCGTGGTTGCAGTTGCTGTGGCTGTTGTAGTGGTAGTGGTTGCTGGTGTTTGCATTTGCTTTTGTTTTGGTATTGCTGTTGCTGTTGTTGCTGCTGCTGTCGTTGCTGTTGTTGTTTCAGCCGCCACGGATCACGGAAAGCAGTGCATCCGTGCTAACCAGGCTCCGGGTGCAAACTCTCAAAGGCCCGCAACAGACTCCGTTCGCGAAGCGTAAGAGTTGTCCAACGGCTTGAGCCGCATGGAACGCACTGGAGCCTGGCGCCTCTGTGATCTGCCGGGTCTCAATTCCCGGCCTCGTGACGAATGACATTTCTGTCCCGACGGAGGTATGCGGTAGGGGTTTCACTCGTCCGCAGGGTGAAAGGAATAGCACGGAGTCCGGGCCTGGTTCTGCGAAAGTAGCACATGGCGCATCGCTTGAACACCAGAATTCATGTCAGATCTTTTGAATTCCATCCTCAAATTGTCTGTGCTGTCACCACCCAGTCGGAGTGTAGCAGTCGGAGGCAGAGGAGGAGGAAGAGGAGGAAGGGTTGGAGGAGGCAAGTGGTGTGGGCTCGAATTACAGTGTCTCAAGCTTTCCAGGCCTTCATCGCAGGATAAGACCAGTCCTAGATGTGAGACATGTGCTGGCAAAAAAGACAGGATGGGGAAACCTTTGCAGTAGGTTTTATCAACAGTGTGAGCAATTTTTCGATGTTGATCCCGGAGATGAAAACTTGGCTTGTTCAGTTCACAATTTCTTTTGAGAACCTACGTAGCAAAACGCCAAGAAATTTAGTGTGAACCTCCCCGACATCATGAACAAGTTGCGGGGTCAAGTAGACATGTACGAAAAGCACGCCACGTGATTGCTACGAACGCAAAATCAGAATAGCGAGCAAGTTCCATGCGTGGGCCAACACAGAAGTCACATTCGTCATATTTTGAATTCTATTTTGGTATGGAAGGCCACTAGCCCATCTCATCTCTTCATAAACGGAAGATCCTCGAGCCTTCCCGATCATAAACCCTGGTCTCACGTAGGTCATGAGGCCTTTCTTGAAATGGTTTTTGACAAACGCCTACATCTTCCAGGGAGGCGATGTCTCAATCCTAGACCCGAGCCCTGTCGCTCTGCCCTTTCTTCCCAAAGGGACATAGTCCAGTACGGGTTAGGGTTGAGGGCTGCAGGGGGGGAGGGGGGCGTGTTAATGATTGCAGATTCAAAGTCCAAGTGTTTCTTTATGCATCTCCAGCACATTGATGACCTTCGTTCCCAATAACTCAAGCCCCTGGCCCAAGGAGCCTCAACAGCTAGAAGTAGAATTCTCTCATCGTCTGTATCGGACTATAGCGTGGGAAGTCCCACCTGTCACGCATCGTTACAAAAGCGGCTGTTGGCAGGCATGAGCCCTCGGCCCTAGGAAGGATGATGTAGGCCCTTGCCACGACAGTTTTGACCTAGAAGGCACGGTGCTGAGTGACAGCCCTGCTCCCCGAACCAAAACATACACACGCGGTCAAACAAAGAAAGTTTTGATGGCCCGAAAAACATACGGCCGTTTGGACTCTTCTGAGGAGGGCCACATACGGCTCACTGACTTTGGGTTGTCGAAGGACATTGTTTTCTGTGATGCAGTGTGTTTGGGGCTTCGGGGTTCAGGATTCTCAGGGTGTGGGCTGCTTCGTAGAAGTCGAGGGAGGCTCCAGAGGCAGTCGTGCACTGGTTTTAGTCACTGCTGTTATGGCGATGGGACAGGTCGGATACTCGATCCAATTACGATTCCAAGACCTTCTGTGTTGCGGGCTGCGGGACTCAGTTCTTTTTGGCCCTAGGCATGAGGTTTGATTGTCTGCTGCCTTGGTTTTGTGCTCCCTAAACCCTGAGCCCGAGATCCCAAGCTTCTCACCTTGGCGCGTGCAGGACGGCCTGACCAACTCGGCAGTGTTTACGTCCTTCGCGGCCGGCTCAGCCGCTCAATGCTCGGGGGTTCAGGGTGTATGATCACGGATGTTTAAAGGTGTTATTGAACTTACGGCTTAGGGTATCAGCTTAGGACTTAGGATTCAGCATTTAAGCAAGCCCACAGACGACAAGGCAGTCGAGTCCACAAGCGCTGCCTGTGGAAACAACAAACTGCTGCACGAGCTTGTAAATCTGACAGGTTCTGCATGTTTGGGAAATACCTCATGAACAGCCTTATGAACCGTAAATCCTGAACCCACTACAACAAGAGCACAAATCTGGAGGTTGGAACCGCTGGATACCTCAGCCCTGAGATGGTTGCGCGGCAGGAGTCGGGTGGTCTTTTTGCATGTGTGTTGTTCGTGTTTCTGATCTTTTTATGTCTGGAGTTGAAGTTTGGGTTTCAGAGTTACTATCGTCTTAGCAGTTCCTTTTGGTGGGGGGGGGGGTACCTTTTAGGTATCTTGGTAGGATTCGTGAAAAGGGATCCGATTCGCTTGTTCTCTCATCTGTGAACAAGCTTTGGAGTACTGCGTTTGCTGCGGGGGCTTACTAAAGTGGTACGACAGTCTTTTTCTAGTTCATTGTTGACTTTGTGCTTGCGTTTGTATTGGCAGAGGGGTTAATTAGTTGGAATATGTCAGTTCTTGGCATTATACTGTTTCGAAAAAATAGTTGGGAAAAAAAACAAAAATCCAGTTCAAAACCTGGCACAGCCCTTCAAAGTAGTTTGAAACTTGAAAAAGACCAGAGCAGGGGCATGGCCTTCCGTTGGACTACTACTGCCTTGGCTGCCGGATGCCCGGTTGACGGTTAGTGTCAGTGTTCTTGATTCAGAAGGATTCTACAGGGCGTTGCAAGTTTGGAGGTGTTCGATCCACGGCTGAGCTTGGAGAACAAGAAAATTACTCAGATGTTTGATCCAAGATTTCGGGTTCCGAATCTTTCTGGAATTTGGGGTGTCGGGTTGAGTGCGGGCTCCGCCTTTGACACGTCACGGTTTTGTCTTTACAGCTGCCGGCTCCCATGGACGCGAAACCGCAAAATGCTAACACCTGGACTGAACCTTGCATAGCCGGTTAAGAGTGTAAAACCTTGCACCCCGAATTTAAGTCTAACCTAACTAGACTACTACCTACTTGTTGGGCACCTTGGCCACTTAGGGTCGGATCAGACCTAGCAAGCCCAAACATCCCCTGCGTTTGATTGACACCCCCAGTCCTAAAATCCCTACAACCTCAAAAGCCCCGAAATCGCGGAGAGCAGCTGCAGGCTTGTTGTATTGCCTTCTGACCGGCTCTCTGCCGCACTACGAGGGGGACTACAAGGAGAGCTTTCTTGGTTTTAGAAGTGCTTTACCAGGTTCTGATGAGAGTTTTGGAGTTTCACAGGGTTTTAAAGTGGCTTCAGACTTGCGGCTGTAGTGGACGGTTTCGTTTAAGTTTAAGGTCCAGGGATGTTTGGTTTGCGGCGTGCGGTTAAAGGTCCGAGCCTGGCTCGAGGCGTGAGAGCATGAGGTTTGAGATCTAGCAGGGTCACACCCAGGGTTTAGCCCAATAGTGAGGGGGCTTAGGGCTCGGGGGTTTGTTTAGGACATACACAGGGTATGAGGAGGTCATGGTTCCTGTTTGCCTGACTGGCGTCTGGGTTCCACCAGTGTACTTTATTTGCGGGTCAGGCTTGCTTCAGGGGTTTAGGCTTGGGGCAAAAGGTTGTATGCCAGGCCTCAGCAATTCAAACATGAAGTCTTCGGATGTTGGAATTGAGCCGAAGGGATAGAATGCTAAAGACTAAACGGGCAATCTGTAGAATTGCGGGCAGCTAAACCAGCCACAACCTCAAACCTCAACCCACTCTCCGTTTCGGTCCAATCTCATACCCGGTGAAGTCAGTGTAGTCACATGCCGTGATGCCGGAGAAACTCGTGAATTTTCGTTGTTCGGAGCTTGGAGGTGTAGGGCTCAAGGGCATAGGGCGTAAGGAGTTTAATCATGTGGCGCAAGTAGGCAAGCTTTGGTGCTTTGCGTCCGGGCTGTACCGCTGTCTCTGAGTCGTTGATAGCTTGACGCGCTCAAAGCCCAAACCAGGGACACATTTGGTACGTGGCTGAGGGGCTAGGGGTTGCAGATACACGTTATGTTGATACTGCAAGTATCCAACCAACCACCTGTCTCGGCGCTTTTCAGCCGACAGCCACAACCCAAGTTCTGAGCGACATGCACATCCCGATTGATGAGCTTTCTTTGCTTAGATTTGGAGTGCCGCATCATGTGAAAAGAACCATGGTTCAGGTACAACTTCGACACCAAGCGGCCTGAAGTCCTCTGACAACGGCAACGTCAAAATTCAGATCAAGCTCTATAGTCTCGAAAGCCCTTTTGCCCTAAACCCTAAAGCGCCGAGCCTTGAGTCTAAGACCCCGCACAGCGAAATCCCGGAAGCCCTTGTTCGACAGCTCCTGGAGGCCATGATCCAGAAGCGGGTGAAGGGCGACCCCGTTCAGTTTCCGTCAGTGTCTCATGGTGGTTTGAGATTACGGTGTACATGTCGGCTCAGGGTTTAGGTTCAGGGTAGCAGCCAGGCTCTTCGCCTTAGCCACGGAGATCCCTGCAACCAAACCTATCCGTCATAAAGCGACTCGTTCGAGGGTCCAGGTTTCAGGTCTTTTGGGGACCTCCGAGATTACATCATCGGGTGCTTCCTGTCGTAAATGCCCACCACCCAGGCCTTGGGTGCACCAAGATGCGCAGGCGCTGCTTTCAGGCCGCCCATCGATGCTGGACTCCTAAGCCCTGCTTGCTAGCTCTTTGAAGGGAAAGTAGGAGACTTAGCCGTTGTAGCGTGCCCCCTCAGATGGGATTGTGTAATAACCCCGCGCCTTTACATGTAGTCTTCACCGGTCGCTGCTTGTTGTTTCAAGCGTTTTCCGTGGTAAAACGATAAGAAGAAAAAACGATAATGTGACATAAGACCCGTGCTTGACTTGAGACTTGAAGTCGCAGTCTTCCCGACGTCCCAAAATCCCGGGTCATGGTGGTGATAAAAACGATAACAACACGATAACGAAAGCGTAACATTCCGGTGAGCACACGCTGTCTTGAACGGGTGTACGCATTCTGTACTTACAGCGGGAGCTTTCAGGAGTGCTCCATGTCGGGAAGTTAAACGTCTTCGTGAGACGAGTCATCCGAAGCAAGCTATGCTACTGCTACTGCTACTGTCACTGCCCCTTTCCGCTGCCACTGCTGCTGCTACTACTACCACTACTACCATTACTACCACCACCACCACCACCACCACCACGACAACAACTACTACTACCACTGCTACTACTGCTACTACTACTACTACTACCACCACTACTACTAGTACTAGTACTAGTACCAGTACCAATGTTGTTGTAAGGTAAACTATGCATATTCTTTGGAACAACGATAAGGAGAAACAAGAACGATAACAGGAACCCAGGGATAAGGATTTTAATACGGAGTTATTATACAACCCCAGATGGATGTTTGACTGCATAAGCTCATTCACTGCGATATGGTGTTTTGAGATTCAGGCAACCCTGGGCCGTAGAGGCTCTGGCCTGGTTTCAGATCGTTGTGCCTTGTAGAGAAAGGTGGGAGAACTTGGAAGCTCCTCAGAAAGGAATGATGACCAGAAGATAGGAGCACCCGAAACAAGGGATCGGATGGAGGTTTGGACGGTACAGGCTTGAGTGGATCAGAACGTTCTCTGTCGAGGTTTGCTACAGCCAGATCCGGCTTACCCGGCGCGTTTTCGCACCGTCGTGCTGAGAACTATAGGATCATATATAGGCTCTGAGGTTCAGCGTTTGCTGCTGTGTGCCCTATGAATCCAGCGTTCGGCTTTTAAGTTAGCTAGGGAGGTAAATCAGTCGTTAAGGGAGGCTTGAGGCGCTGTGTGTTGGGCTTTGCCCTCTAGACTTGTCCAAGGTTTTTCTCAAATTACATGCAAGCCCTCTCTCGCATCGGAGTGCTGTCGTTCTCAAAACTTTTTCGGCCTTTGGGGTGTTTCGGGTTTCGTACCCCAAAAGCCCCACGTCCCTAAGCCCTAAACGGCCGTAGACCCTGAACCCGAAAGCCGCAGCTAGGAAATCCACGAGACCAGTATGCCACGTGAGAAGCCAGAAGGCCTCGTTCACCCTTCCGTTGATACGTTGACATGACAAGGATCTCATGGAGATAGAGGTTTTGGCGGGAAAGAGAGGTGGGTTTGACTGTTCATCAAACGTCTACATTCTCCAGTCCTTGACCCCTTGGATGTGAGATATATCTTCGAAAACAAATCAAATTGGTGTAGGGTAGGGTTGAGGGTTTGCTAAGGGATTCGTGAGGAGTTCTTGTGCAGCGCTTATAAGTTCGGGCTTTCCAATTTCTAACCAGCCCTACGTCCCGAAGCCCCCCTAATGTACAACACCAAGACCAAGCGCAAACTGAGATCCCTTCATCCGGTGTGCCGGCCCAAGCTAGAGTGCATCGGCACCGACGAGTTGTAGAAATTCTACGGAGCCTGAACTGCCATGCATTGGCCCAGACCCCCGACCCGGTTGGCCCACGGCTCAGAGCACCTAGCTAGAAGTATTGATGTCCTGCCTAGGGTCAATGCTGCATCCTGGTTTCAGGTGCAAGTGTCATTCCATATCCTGCAGAACAACTGCAGATCCGGAATCCCATTATTGTACACCCGGTAAGCTCGAATCTCAAGTAGGGCCCGGCTAGCATAATTCAGAGGCTTGAGCAGCAGCATTCCTTGAATAGACACGCCAATATTTCTTTCGTAGAGAGAGTCGGTATCGAAAGCAAGTGCTTTGACCACGCGACCCTGCACCGCAAGCCCCACCTCACTCAGAAGAGTAAGCCCCCTTACATCCCACTCCCAAGCTACACTCTCGAGAACCCCACGAGACTTCGAAACCACAGCAGCTGCCCCATTGCCCTGCACCATGGATTGGTTGTAGCGATCCGAGCTATGTGGGCTCCTTTCTACGTCGCGGGCTCAGTCCCAAGCCTGTCGCTCCAAGGTGTGATGGCCGTGAGGGCTGCAGGTCAGTTTGGGGGTTAAATTTGTTAAAGGCTGAGAGGTTTGAAGTCTGCGGTGTTCGGCTTTAGCATTCAGAGCTTCTCGGGTCGAGGTTTTGGGAATTTCAGTTTCTTTCTGGGTCATGGGATTGCTGATGCTTTAACGGCATGTACGTGCCCGGAGTCAGGGATAAACGAAGGGAGGCAGCGGCCTAACGATGCCAAAGTTCCTGGCTCATTTGTTCGCGAAATCCTTGTTGCAGTGATGGGGAGTCGTCGTTACATATTCTCACGCAATCGCAAAAGCTGCTATGACGCTTCGCATACAGTGATGCTGCCAATCATGGTTCAGCCCTGTGAAGGCAATTCAATCTCGAAGACTATGCACCCTTGTCGGAGCCCCAAAGCAACATACCCCAAACCCTAGCAACCACAAGCGCCAAATTGAAGCCCTTGGCCCTTAAACCTAGAGGGCCTAAGACCTACCTTAGGAACTCCGTATACATTCCCGACATAGAACCCTTACGAGACCGATTCTAGTTCCGTAAGACCTGCACCTTTTAGCCATGAATCCGTGGAAAAAAACGAGGATTTGCCCCGGGATTTCGGCTGCGAGCGGTCGAGCTGGGAAGCTTAGCTCTTGAGAAGCCGGCCCTGCAAAGCTCTCCACGCCCTAAGCCTTTTACTTTGGGAGCTTCTCGGGTTTCGGGTTTGGGGCATTTCGGAGGGTGAAACTCGGGTTTAACATTTCAATATGCTGTGCAATTGTTTAGGATAGGCCTTGAAGTGCGGTTTTATGGTTTGGGCTTTCCGCTTGATGGTTGACAGTTCAAGACTGAGGCTCCGAGGAATGACTGGGAAACCAATAAGCCGCTCATGGTATGCAGTGCAGGTTCATGGTGTTTGGGCGGTTGGGACTTCGTGGTTTCATCGTATGCTTGCTTGGGCTCCAAGCTCGAAGACTCTGCTTTGGAGAAGGGGTGCAATGCACTTGCAGTAAAGCTGTTTTGCACTGCAGGCGGTTGAACCAAACCTTCGTAAGCCCTCAAAGCTGAAACGACTTCACAGGCGCTTCGACTCCCGCGCCGCCGCCGGACGAGGAGGTGCAGCCCAGAGAAAGGATTGGGTTAAGCACTTAGGGCTTGGATGGGGCATTGAGGGTTTCGGGTTCAAGAGTTTTAGGGGGTGTAGTGTGAAATCTGGCGACGGCAGAGCGTACATATTCAGGCTAATGGTTTGTCACATCGCTTCGGTTGGTTTTTAGGGATTTAGCAATAGCAACCTCGGCGAATATTCATATAGGGGTACACAAACTTCTGGTGTGCGGACTGCAATGTGGGGAATTGAAATTTGGTTCGGTTTGAGGTGATGGTTCAGAGTTTAGAATGTCAGCAGAGCCGATTCTAGTCGACTGCATGTGGTCATTGAGCCGATCGGGGGTTGTGACAGGAATGCCAATGTGGTTACGGTTACCACTTGAGAGGCTTCCGGAATTTCTGCTGACCCATCATGTCGCATTCTGTGGTGCTGCAAAGTGCGGGCCTGGACACCACCTGCCTGGTTGACCACATGCCTCTGCAGAGCTTTCAGAGGGTTTTCCTTACAAACGAAGAAAATAGTCACCTCAGCTCCTTAGTGTCTTGTGAGGGGCCTAGATTTTGTGTGCATGAAGCACCTGCTGTTTACTACGAAACTGTTCGAAAAGCCTCACTAGCTGGCTAATCTGTTCCGTTTCATGATTGTCAGCGGGGCAGTCCAAAACACTTTGAAGGATTTCCTCTCAGCGCTTCCTGTCTGTACATCGCAGAAACACACAAGCTTTAGGGTCCTGGCAAAATGCGTTTCGCCGTGTGTGAGACTGGAAATCCGGAGACGTCCCATTGTTTTCGCTTCCTTTGCTGCAGCACTGTCAGGCCCTGAACACTTATTTATAACTGATGAGCACAAAACTCGCAGCCGTACTCATACCCTCCAAACTTTTCGCAAGATGACTTGACTGCAGTGTGTAGGCACCGCCACATGCAGATGCGCTGAGCTCTCAGTCGGGTGTTCGAGCCCTGTAAGCCCAAACGGCTAAATCGTGTGGCCCTAAATCCGAAACCCTCCAGCCAAAAGCCTGGCCCTTTCAGGCCCTCGCTGGCATGGGTTCTGTAGGCCCTCCCCTTTCCTCCTCACCGGGAGTTTGAAACAAACGTTTTTTTTTTTGTTGTTTTCTGATCTTCCCATGTGGAGCCTACAGAAGCTCACGGCCCAGAATGCGTATGCTCATTATGCTCTCCGAATATCTCCCATGCAGTTCCTTTCCCATTGGCCACTTTACTCTTAGGATCCTAAAAATAACGAAATCAGGAATCCGCGGAAACTGTAGTTGACGGTCTTATTAGGCGACTGCCCTTGCAAACAAACGACTATTTGGGGTTCCGTGCAGGGTGCAGCCCTCGGCTGAGGAAAGAACCCAAATCC